TCCAGGCTCTTCCCAGGCTCTGCTGTCCCCCACGAGCCTTTTGCTGCAGCCTAAGGAACAAAACCTCCCCATACCCACTGCCCCACCAATCTGCCCTGCTCCAACAAGCTTAAAACCCTCAAATCCATGAGGGTCTTGTGCTTTCCCAGCCCAAAAGACCTGGAAGGGGCCGCAATCGGCCAAGGTGGGTTTTTTGGCCATTTTCTCATGCAAGCAGCAGGAGGGATGGGAACAGCCACTACCAGAAAACCATCACTGTGCCCTAATGGAGCCTCTGGCCTATGGACCCCACTGAGACCTTGTGAGTAAAACTGGGACCCCATGGAGGAACAAGGCTCAGCCATTGAACCTTTTCCCTGGCTTTGTTGGAAGCAGCTGGCTCTGCAGAGATGCCACTCCTGTCTCAAGCAATGGGCAAACTGAGACACAGAGGCAGGATTGGCACTAGAGCTGAGAGCTGAGCAGAGCTCTGCAGCATCTTGGGGTGCCTCTGGCACTGCTCAGGGACAGATGCAGGGTGCTGAGGTGCTGCTCTCCCTACCTGCACGCGGACCTCTGGCAGGTTGACCTTCATGGCCAGCTCCTCACGGCTGTACACGTCCGGGTAGTGGGACTTCTCGAAGGCGCGCTCCAGCTCGTGCAGCTGGTACGTGGTGAAGGTGGTGCGGTTCCGCCGGTGCTTCTTCTTGGGCTGCTCCTCCTCGGCAGCGGGTGGGGTCCCCTCGCTGTCCCCTGGCTTCCGCAGCTCACCCAGGTCCCCCTCGCACTTATTCAGGAACATGGTGGCACCTGCAGGGATACTGCAGAGTTAGAGGGTGTGGGGGCTTTGGAGCCTGCATGTGTCCCTGGCCCAGGGATGGATGGACAGTAAATGGAGGGATGGGAAGATAAGGTGGCCCTAGGAACAGGTTATGCAAAGGCATAATCCTCTCTGCCACAGCAGAGGATCCCAGGGCTGTGGTGTCCTGGGGGTTGATCCACAGTCCCAGCGACTGACCCAGGGTCCTTGGGACTGACCCAGAATCCAAGGGATGCCATGCACTTGGCTCTGCTGTCCAATGCCACTGGGCCAACGAACCCACTGGTGCTAAAAGTCAGATTTCCTCTAAAGTGGAGGATTTTATGAAAGTGCCATCTCAGAGAGCCAACGTGATCTCTCCTTGCCCTGGCCTGGAGGGGACCAAGCCTGGGTTAATTCCCTCCTTCCTCCCCAGCTCCTCTTTCTAGCTTCCAGTGAAGGCTGGCCCTGGAACGCTGGAGGACTGAATGTCAATCCCCAGGCTGGGTGGGAGTGACCCAGCACTGTACCCCAGCTAATAACCATTTTGGTGACTCTTAACGTTTCATCTTTAAGCTTTTTATCCGGCATCTGAAATCTTCCTGCAGAATTTGCAGGGGATTAAGGGTCTCTTTCCACTGTGAGGATGTCGACAGACATGGAAATGGGGCAGAAAACCATAATCCTGGGGCAAGGGGAAGGCATTGCATTGTCCAGACCCACCAGCAAAGACTCACCTAATGCCTCAGTGGAAGTGGGGAGGGAAAAGGAGAGTGGGTTCATGCTAGGAGGTGGGAAAATGGGGGTCCTAGAGGGCAGTGAGCAGGGGGTGGGTGTTGGGTGCTGCCCAGGCTGTGCACACAGGGCACAGTCTGTGTTGGGGTGCTGTATGTGCAGTGGAGGTGTGCACAGTGTGCCCGCAGTGCCTCTGTCTGTGCCTGTACCTGGGCAGGGGACCAGGGGTGCTCAGGGGTGCTCCCAGTGAGACACAGGTGTGTGTGGGGAATGTGGAGTGAGCTGAGCATGTGGCGGAAGGTGTGCAGCATGTGCACGACGCAGATGTGTATGTGTGGGGATGGGGGTGTGCAGGGTGGTTTGTGCCACATGGGAACAGTGCTAGGGTGCAGTGCCTGTGTGCCATGTGTAGCACACGCTGTGCAGTGTCTGCACTGCTGCACGCAGGGCTCAGTGGGTGTGCACAGCGCCATGGGGCTGCAGGTAGCACAGTGTCTGGGGGGCATGCACAGCCTGTAGGCACAGGAGTTGTGGGCACCCAGTGTACAGCGTGTGCAGTGTGTGCAGTGAGTGCAGGGTGTGCAGGGTGTGCAGTGAGTGCAGTGTGTGCAGTGAGTGCAGTGTGGGCAGTGTGTACAGTTAGTGCAGGGTGTGCAGAGTGTGCAGGGTATGCAGGGTGTGCAGTGTTTGCAGAGTGTGCAGTGAGTGCAGTGCACATGGCACTTGCAGCACAGGCATGCGTAGAGCCTGTGGCACACACCATGCAGTACAGCACATGCAGTGTGTACATATGTGTGGTGATGTGCAGTGCCTGTGCAGTGTGTGCTGTTTGTGTGCATGCTCCCAACACAAGCAGCATGTGCCTGATGCTGCTGTGGTGTGCTCAGCGTGTGTGCTGTGGTTGTATGATATGGGCAATGTGTCCAGTGCAATCAGGGCATGCCCAGGAGCTGTGTGTGCAGTGAGTGCCGTGCGGGCAGTGAGTGCAGTGTGTGCAGTGTTTGCAGGGTGTGCCGTGTGTGCAGTCTCGAGTGCAGGGTGTGCAGTGAGTGCCGTGTGTGCAGAGTGTGCAGGGTGTGCAGTGAGTGCAGGGTGTGCAGGGTGTGCAGTGAGTGCAGGGTGTGCAGGGTGTACAGGGTGTGAAGTGAGTGCAGGGTGTGCAGTGAGTGCAGTGAATGCAGGGTGTGCAGAGTGTTCAGGGTGTGCAGTGAGTGCAGGGTGTGCAGTGAGTGCAGGGTGTGTTGCACACCCAGTGGGTGCTGTGCTCACAGAGGGGCTGTGCACATGCAGTGCCGTGTGTGCAGGGAGTGCAGCATGCTGTGTGTGCCCTCAGGAGCTGTAAGCCCCCCATGTGCCCTACAGCCCCTCTCAGGGTGTCTGTAGCCCTCGGAGCTCTGTGTCCAGGCAGTCTCAGGATGCCTCAGGGGAGCCACAAGTCAGGGCAGGGGTGTTGTGTGCTGCACCCCGGGGTACCCCAAGGCAACGGGGGAGGGTGGGGGGGAAAGGCTGGAGGGAGCAGGGGCCCTGTGGTCACTGTGTGAGCATCACAGTGTGTTCTGGGGTTGGGGACACAGGGAGGGGATGGGGTCCCCACTGCCATCCTGTTGTCCCTTACCTGCTTCTCATTTGCGCAGCTCCACACCTGCAAGGAGAGGAGAGAGGGGGGCTGAGCACCTAGAGCACCCTCCTGGGGCACAGGCCCCTCAAGGGACCCAGCACACCATCAGGATCCCCATCTGCCCTGCCCAGTCATGTCCCACGGTCCCATGGAGCAGTGGGGGGGAGCCAGAGCTGGGGCGGAGCTGGGGCAATGGGGATGGGTTAGATGGGCACTGGGGGGGGGGGTGAGTGAGAGAGGCTGGGGGGCTGGGGAGAAGATGGGGCATGCGGGAGAAGAAGTGGGGGAATGGTGGGGGGGCAGAGGTAAGGTATGGAGATGGAGCCCCATGGTTCACCCCCTGACCCCATCAGAAAGCAAAGAAGGCAAAAACTCCTCAGGGAGCAACAAATCCCAATCTGGGAGCACAGATGAGCCAAGAACAGCAAAATACCGGAGCAGCAGTGAGCCGGCAGCAGGGCGGCAGCACCGGACCCTGCGGGATAGGGCAAGGGTGGGATCCCCACCCCGATCTACCTCGGCCTGGCCAGCGGGGCACAGGGGAGCCTGAGCGGGGAAGGGGGGAGCGTGACAGATCAGGCTGGGGGGACATCAGCACCAACCAACCACCCCATATTCCCCATCCTCCAGGGACTGACCTCAGGACTCCCAAGCCTTTGCCACCAGCGTTTTGGGAATCCTGCCTGGAAACAGGCCACGCTGAGCTGGGGGTGGGGGAACTCTTAAACTCTGGCTCCCGAAGGACATCTTCCTGCAGCCACTGACAAGCTAACAGGAATTTTTGGGTTTAAGCCCTTAAGCTGCAAACCTGTGCTGGGAAACATAAGGACTCAAAATACCTCAGGAGAGTTCTTCCCCCCCACTCCTTGATGCCCCAGCCCATGGTTCTCCTGTGGGGGCTGCTAGCTGAGGGGAGGAGATGACTCCCCCCAGACATAAAGACACCCAAAAAAGCAACAGAAACGACATTAAGCCCTGGCCAAAGTGGGTAAAAAACCTCACTTCCTGAATACTGCAAAGCAGCAGAACATCAGCAAGGACAAGTGGCCTCCCCTGGCAGCAGGGGATGTGGAAGAGACAGTCCAGGGACAGCCTCAGCTTCCACTGGGACCCCATTCTTTGCCTTTGGAAGCCCATCCGGGTGCCAGGATTTGGCTCCCTGGGCTCGGGCTGCCTGGGTGGTAGGAGCAGGGGTGGCTCCTGCCCCTGGCTCTGTGTGACTCGGGGTGAGTGACACTGGCAGGCACGCGCCCCCACTCCTGAGTCCCCAGGGAATGGTGCCAGTCCCATCCCCAACACCATCACCAACCCTGGGCACACCCTAGGGACACCCACTCCCCTTCTCAGCATCTTCCCTCAGCACTTTGTCCCGAATTGGAAAAAAAAGGCATTACCTGCTGGGCCCAACTCGGCTTTTCCAGGAGTATTTAACTTTGCTGGTCCCTCCCGGGAACCAAACAAGCGGCTCAACCTCACCAATCTCGCAGCTTTGGCAGCCAAAGTTGCCTCTAGTCTTCTTATTTGTCACAGAACCGCCGTGCTAAGGCTCGGGAGAATCTTTATTTAGTGTTGCAGATGTCACCAAGGCACCGCAGATTGGAAATGAGTCCAAAGGATTAAGACGAGGTTATTAATTGGAGGCCTTCCCCTTTAAGAATGATTGACAGTTACTTTCTGGACAAGTAATTGCTCTAAATGTCCCCCCAGCACGGGTCCGGGGGGGCAGCGGCGGACAAAGCCCCGAACTGCCTTCCCCACTCGGATTGTCTCCCCACAAAGGCGTCCTGCTGGAGTTTGCCGTGTAATCCCCTCATTACGGGCGAGGAGAAAGAATTAGAAACAGGGGGAGAGGAGAAGAAAGGATGGAGGGGGAGGGGGCAGGATTTCCTTGGGCTGCGGAGGCTCTGCCCCAGGGATGGGGTCTGGGGCAGATACCCCAAGCCTCGGTGGGATGGGGATGATGCAGTGATGGGTGTTGTCCCCCCTGGATAGGGATGGCGAACCTGGGGGTGGCCCTGTGACAACGTGGGTGGCCCTGTGGCTCCCAGTGATGCTGCCTGCAGAGCCCTGCCCACATGGGGAGCAGAGATGGGGACAGGTGTGGGGACAGGGATGGGGACCAGACATGGGATCCAGCTATGAGGACACAGGGTGTGGACACTGTCTGGGGGCCTGCTCTGGGGTCTGGCCGTGGGCCCAGATGTAGGGACCAGCCATAGAGACCAGCCCCCCTGAACAGCCTTAGGGAGCTGGTATGAAGACCAGGCAGGGAACACTCACAAGGACCAGAGTGGGGGACCAGACAGGAGGGCCAAGTGTGGGCCCCATGGAACCAGGCATGGGGATGAGTCATGGACTCATGGACTGAGCACTGGGACCAGCCATGGGAACACCCTATGGGGAGCAGCTGTGGGATCCAGCCAAGGGGACTATCCCTGGGGAGTGCCCATGGGCCCTGGCCTAAGGGGGCGTGGGATAAAGGCAGCCAGGCTGAGGGGCTGGGCTACCATTCTTCTCCTCCCCACTCCCACTGCTGCCCCTGGGCCCCAAAGAATGATGGAAACATCATGGTGGGGGTCTTGGGCTGTGCTGGGGGATGTGCTTGGTGCTGCTCACAGCCCCCATGATATGGGGTGGATTTTGCCCTTTTCTTTCTTTTGCTGACTTTTAC